GACATCCACAGGGCAGTTTCTTTTTACTTAAAATGCATGGAACCCTTCCGCAGAACTCCACGGCTCTTCATTTCCTCTACAGAGAGATCACAAGGGTTACCCATTTCAAAACACTGTCCAAATGGATTTCAGGCTGTATACACTTAGCCTACACTATATTTCAGAAGGAGCCCCCATCATAACATACGGTCTCACTCCACAAGAGCGATGGCAGCATCAATGGCATTTCTCCCGGCTGTACCAACAGAGGATATCTGCAAGGTCACCATGTGGGCCTCATATCACACTTTCACGAAGCATTATGCCATTCAGACCTTTGCAGACTGATGCACATTTTGGCCCAACAATACTCTTGGTCGCTGATTCTCATCCTCCAAAGCATCCACCACCTAGCACGACTACTCTTTGTAATCACCTAAAGTGGAGCACCTACAGAGACAATCCTTGAAGAAGGGAAGGTTACTCACCTGGTGCAGTAACTGGAGTTCAAGATGGTTGTTCCCATGGGTGATCCACCATCCACACTTCCCTCCCCTCTGCTTTGGACTCCTCTACATCTGGGTCAGAGAGGGAACTGAAGAGACGGCTGGCTACACATGTGGGATAGCTGTTTCGAATGTAATGCGCTGGCATCCTGTGTGGACAGCCGACCAAGGGCACTGCTACCTAAAATCTTCAGTCAGAGGCTCAGTAGTGCTCAAGCACCTAAGATGGTTGTCTCCGTGGGTGCTCCATCTCAAACTCCAGTTACTGCACCAGGTGAATAACCTTCCCTTACTTTGGGTGCTTTGAGATGTGTTACCCATCTATGGCCCATACTTGTTTTCTTCCCCTCTGCTTGGGCCAGGACCTGATTTGCATCAGGGAAAGAACTTGAAAGATGGTTAGTCTGCTCAGTCCCTTATGTTCATGGTGTAGGAGAGGTAGGTTGCAGGAGCAGACCAATGGACATGACTTGCAAGAACTCTCTGGTCTCTGGTGACTTGTGTTCATAAATACCACAATGGAATATAGCTAGGAATTGCACATCTCTAAAACTCTATTTACAATAAGGTAAGTATGTTCTTTTTTGTACTGGACAGGGATACAGTAGATTTAGGTTCTGTCACAACTATTGATCATTGGGCAACACATTTAACTACGGTGTGGTGCAGTTTCCCATTTGTAAAATGAAGAAATTCTTGGAGTGCTTGCTCCTATAAGTTCCAGTTAGGTGTGTGTGCGCTACATGCATGACTGTCAAAGTTTTCCCCTAGCAACTACCTATCAGGCTGGCTGCGGAGCCCACTGGTGCAGCACACTATATGTGATCCTGCTGGCCCAGTCACCCCTCAGTTCCTTTTTACCGCCAGTGACCGCTTTTTGAACTGTGCCTCTCTTGCACTGCAAGTATCACAAGTCCCTAATGTTTATGGCTAGCCTGTTTCTGAACAGTTGTAGTTATCAGTTAGTGGTGTAGTGTTGCAGGAGTTGAAAGGGTTTCCCTTCCCACCTGTGTCCCTCTAGGGACCTCGGGGTATGCCTAAGTCCCAGGTCTTCAAATCCTGAAGGTCTTGTTTAAAATCTATGTCTAAGCAATCCCCACAACTTGTGTCTGATGCCTGGGGAAGCTCATCAGGTGGACATGTGCAAGATTTGCAAAGCTTTTAAACCACAGAAAGGATCATGACTTTTGCCCAAAGCAGCTCTTAATAAAATTTGCCCTTCAGTCTGAGAGGACCTGCTAGTGAGTGCTTCAGTGAGTAGAGCACCGGTGAGTAGTGCAACATCTTGGGTGCCGAAGAAAGTCTCGTCCTGGCATTAGTACTTTCCGCAGACCACAACATTCCAGCACTGGTCTCACTCCCCATTCAAGTCCTCCAGAACCGCCAACTTGTCATCATCGGCACTGGTGGCACCTCCTGCTTCAACTACATGGACTGTCAGAAGGCCCTGACGGGCTTCAGCCTATGGATGTCAAATAACTAATTGAAAAGTTGATGCATTTTGCATCGACTTTTCAATTTGTTGATGGGGAGATTCCACCTAGGGCTGTTGATACTCTTCAAAGGTGAAAGTGCCATGTGGCACCTGGGATGAGCTGGGGACTGATCCTGGGTTCCTATTGGTGCTGCCTCTTTGAAACACCCATGCAGCCTAACACCGGGCCCCCCGAGGCGTTTCAAAGTGGCAGCGCTGTGTGAAGCCCGGGGACTGGCCCGAGGCTTCAAGCGGCACTGCCATGTTGAAGTACCCCATTTTCTCCCCTGCCCTTCCTCCCCCCACCCCCCGATGCCTCTTTCTGACAGAGGCAGTAAGATGGGGAAACACCTAGTTGACTAGTCCTTCACATCCCTACTTCAACCCCAAGCATTGAAGTGTTGCGCTTTGTTTCCAAGCCCTATACTCCTGGACTTCCTGAGGATGGAACTGCTCCTCCAGCTGCACAGGGACAAGGCAAACATTATCTTGGTGGCCATGGCCTGGGCCTGTCAGCACTAGTATCCTACCCTGCTGGAGTTGTTAGTGTACGTACCCATTCTGCTACCCCTCCTCCCGGGCCTAATAATGGAGGACCATCGTCACCTCCACCACTTAGATAAAGGGAACAAAGTCCAACGGCATGGAGGCTGTGTGGCTGAACCCTATGAAACAGGCATGTTCAGATCAAGTCTGACATGTCTTTCTCAGTACTAGGAAGCTCTCCACTAGACTTAGCCAAATGGAAGCTTTTTTTCATATTGTTGCTCTCAATACAACTTCGCCCCCTTGTCCACCTCCATATCCCAGTTGCTCAAATACCTTGTGTCGCTTAAACAACACAATCTGGTGACTTCTTCACTCAAGGTGAATCTGGTGGCCATATCGGTGTTTCATCTGGGAGAAGTGGGTCACTCTGTCTTCCTGCACTCCCTGGGTGGGTGCTTCCTTAAAGGTATGGACAGGCTCTACCCACTGGTCCAGTGCCCTTTCCCTATGTGGGATCTCAGCTTGGTCCTTGCTGTGCTTATGGGACCTCCCATTGAGCCCGTGGCCATATTCTCCCTTTTCTACCTCTCATGGAAAGTAGCCTTTCTGGTAGCTATCACTTCCACGTGGTGGGTGTCAGAGCTCTGTACCCTGGTCTTGGAACCCCCATACACTCTTTTTCATAAAGACAAGGTTCAGCTTAGACATCACCCAGCTTTCCTTCCAAAAGTAGTCTTAGGCTTCCATACCAGATAGAGATACTTTTACCTTTTTTATGCAAAGCCCCACAGAAGCTTCAGGGGGGAATAACTGCACTCCCCTGATGGCAGAAGGGCACGTCCTTCTACATTGACCACACCAAACTTTTGTAAGTCCTTGTAGTTCTTGGCAGTGGCATATCGCATGAAGGGCCTGCTGATATCACAGCATGTATTCAGATGTGCTATGGCGTGGCCATGGTTCCCTTCCCCAACTGTCCTAGCACACTCCAAGTGGGCACAGATCTTCTCATCTGCTTTCCTAGCTTATGTGCCTCTTCAGGACATCTGTAAGCCGTGACATGGTGCTCAGTGCATACCTTCGCATCCTGCTATGCCATTGTGCAACAATCCAGACAGCTTATTGACTCCGACCCATCCCCCTTCATAAGGCTGATTAATCACCGAATTGGGATTGATATGAGCAAGCACTGAAAGGCTTAAAAAAGGTTACTTGCCTTTTGTAACTGTTCTTTGAGATGTTGCTCATTTCTGTTCCATGCCCACTTTCCATCCCCTCTGTCTGAGTAGCTGGCAATAAGGAGCTGGGTGGGTAGTCATCTATAGTACACCACACTGGCACCACTCCAGTTGGCTCCACAGTCAACCCAGCAGGTATAGGGTGAAACTTTCCACTAGCTGTTGATGTGGCGCACTCATTCCTAATCAGATATGAGCAACCCATCTTTAAAAACACCAGTTATAAAAGGCGCATAATGGTTTTTTCCTCTCAGGGTTGAGGCTTATTTTATTATGTATGCAAAATGCATAGTGATGACTGCCATTCAGAAACGTAATCAAATGCAGCTGTTTATTTTGCAGTTGCAAATGAGGCCTGAGGTTGGTGGAAAATACATGAGAGAGAAGAGAAGAGATGAGTGAGAAGCTCAAAATCCTTTTCACTTTGAGTAACCTTCAGTGAACTCTGCAGGAGAACTTGAAATTTGGCATTATGTGGACTACTGTAATTGTGTCAACCGTGTGAATAGTTTCTCCATATATGCTCTAGCTGCTCCCCATTCTCTTGCACTGAACTAAATTTGCTGTTTTCCCATGAAATACTTGCTGCTCTGAATGGTGACTCTGATCAGTGGCAAAAAAGATTTCCAGGAACTCAGCAGTTTTTTTTTTTTTTTTTTTTGAAATGCAGACTGCCCTGCTTACTGCAGTTGTTGTCAGATGGATATACTAGGGATCAGTGTGCTCTGTCCCCTTGGACATGAGTCATTTAGTTGAGTGCAACAGTGTCTGCCTCTCATCCAGATACTCTCTTCACCTAATCTGGGTTCCTGAGGCATTCTGCACCCTGTAGAGCGGAGTTCCTTGGGTTACAGAGCAGCTAGCTCTGCTGACTACTGCTTCTTACTCAGCCGTCTGTTATGTGCGCAGAGTTGAAAAGGAATTGTGTTCAAACAGTAGCTGCTACATACTTTTTAAAAAAGTGGGATGTGAGGGGAAATAGGCAGCTGTTCATCACAATTACTGCCACTTAATATGAAACCTAATCTTTCCTCCCTCGCTGTCAAAGAGGAGCCTGACATGTAGAAATTGAGTGGCTACTGCCCAACTGCTACTTTGCAGCCCTTCTCGGAAAACAAACACATTTACAAAATACCTTTAATCTGAGAAAATGGCAAAATAAGCCCCTGTAAATTCCCCTTCCAACATGTCCTAGAATCAAAATGTACAATTCATGTGCATGGCTTTTTAACTTTTGCTTTGTACTATTCCACTGTTGTCATGGTAAATGGTAAGCTGGCTTTTGATTGTTTTTGTTGTCTTTGTGATTTCTAGGGACCAGCAGCACCAACACAGTTGGTGGGACTGTGAACAGCCAGGCACCCCAGTCTCAGCCTCCTGCCATAACCTCCAGCCGGAAAGGGACTTTTACAGATGATCTGCACAAGTTGGTAGACAACTGGGCCCGTGATGCCATGAACCTCTCTGGCAAAAGAGGTGGCAAGGGGCATAGCAACTATGAGGTAAGAGATTTCTCCCTTTATTTCCCCCTTACATATGCGTGGAAGGAGAGCTGCCCATGCTAACTTATTGGCTGTATCAAGATGCACCTGCAAAGAAGAATTTCCATGTAGTCAAGCCAAAATAGTGCTGTAGGAAGGAATGAGCCATAGCTCTCATGCAGAGGGCTCCTGCCTCCTGTTCTCTCCAGCACTAGAGAAAGGAGAATCAGGATGTCTTTGAGAAGTACCTGTTTAATGCAGTTACATGGAAGGGTCTGTGGATGGAGGGGAACTGCTTCCACCACACTTAAATAACTTCTCTTTTGGGGCTGGGTTTTCTTTCAGGGCCCTGGAATGGCAAGAAAGTTCTCAGCACCAGGCCAGCTATGTATTTCTATGACATCCTCCCTGGGTGCTACGCCTATCTCTGCAGCATCAGCTACCTCTCTAGGTCACTTCACAAAGGCCATGTGCCCTCCACAGCAGTACGGTTACCCAACAGCACCCTTTGCCACTCCCTGGAGTGGTCCAGGTGGTCCAGCACAGCAACCCCTTGGTCAATTCCAGCCTGTAGGAGCTGCCTCTTTGCAAAGTTTCAACATCAGCAGCTTGCAGAAATCCATCAGCAACCCCCCAGGCTCCAATCTGCGGACCACTTAGCCAGACTCAGAGACTATGCTGGGTAGAACTTGGGACAGGAGATGGGGAGGGAGTTAGGGCCCTGTATCAACTACTATTGCTGCACTGAACTGGCTATTTCTGCCAGAAGGGGAATGAGCTTCCCTATTCCAACCATTGCTGTCAGCTCTCAGTAAGGAGAGTTCCCCATTTCTGAAGGGGGGAGGAGGGTGATAAGTAAAAACACTCCTGTTCTTGTATAAGATGAGCAATGAAGATAGAAGTCAATGTGACCTCACTGTAAAAGTACTTCAGTTTGAGTCTGAATCCACACATGCTGAGATAGGAAAGTTTAGTCCTAGCATGAGGCTGTAACACACTTCTCATCTCCTTGAAGAATGAAGGCCAGGAGAGAAGCTGTCCAAATCTCCCTCCTCTCCCCCAAACAATCATCTTTACCTCCTGAGTGGTAGGGCACACAAATGGACTTGCAGTGCAGCCCATGCTTGAGATAGGTCATTACTGCTTTAAATAAAAAGATATATTAACAGCTTTGACTGCAGCATTAGAGCAATTTAAATTGTTTAAAAATGAATTTAAAAAAGTTCCCTGCGGACATGTACTTACCATCAGTTTTGATGTGGAAACACTGTGATATATAAATGTTGTTGGACAACAGTTTAAAATGAGTGGAAAATAGAGGGTTAAAAAAAGTTAAAAAGAAAAAATGGAAAAAAAGCTAGCTATATCCTATACTTATTGGAGACACTTTAACTTTTTCCTTTGTATTTTCATTGTATTAGATAAATGTGAATGTAAAATTGTATAAATTAATGTACTTGAATACTTGTCTGTTCTCCCAGTATGCTTGCTGGATATTTTAGTGCCTTGGACTTTTATTGCTTCTGCAGTTAGCATTGCTTTCTCAGCAGGTCCCAGCTGGTCAAAGGGCAAGTTAAGGGGAAGAATGGACTATTTTGTACCTAGTGACTGGGATACCAAAGGGTTAACAATTTGGATCTTTATACATACATACATACATATGTCATACTGTAACTTTGGGTAGGTGTTGGAGGAGGGAGAGCTATTGTAGGTTGGAAAAGTGTTTTGGGTGATGGGGAAACCAGTCCGTGTTGACCGATTTAAAAGTTGATGGCACAATGCTGGTGTAACACAGCGTGATAGGCAGGAGAAGTGATGGAGGGGAAAGAGGAAGCTCAATTGAAACTAACAAACACTGCCTAGAGCCTTAGGAGGCCTGAATCAGAACAAAGAATGGGAAGGAAGTGCATATTTTGGAAAAGTTTAACTTTAATGGTGTTTTGACTATTAAAAACTGTGATATGGAAAGTGGCTAGGTGAGGGTGTGTATGGAGGTGAAGCTATTACCCTGAGGGGATGGGTTATCTGCTGGGATTGCTTTTCTTACCTTTTTTTATTCATTCGTGCTAGGAGTAGACTTTCCTGGTGCGACGTCCATTGCCGGCAATGGATGCACTTGAAATAGCCGGCATCAAGGAATTCCCTCTGTCAAGCATGAAGAGGACTTATGATTTGTTCACTCTAAAGAATTCAAACTGGTACCAGGACCATAACTAAGTGTGCCATCTTTTAGTAATTGTATTGTACCTTCTATTTCTCAACTCATTTTCCCTTTTTCATACTGAAAAATACTGGTTCCCTGTTCAATGTAATACTGCAACCAACCAGTATTATTCTGTAGTGCTGCAACAAGCTGTGAAGGTCAAAGTACTGCTTTCTAGTACATGGGAGTAGCTCAGTGGTGTCCTGAAAATCTTCCCTGAATTTTCTGAGAGCACCGCTCCCTTCTTGGGGGTCTTATTTGTGAATTTATACTTTGTGGATGTTTTGCTCTTATCTCTAAAAACGAATGCACAAGATCTGTTTCTTTCCCTTCACCTGGTTTTGATGTTTATGGCAGCTTTGTCAGCCAGGATATTATTGGTAGTATACAAGTTGGAAATGAAGAGTCTGTGGGTAGATGCTATTGGCAAGGTGGCTGGGCTCAAACAGTTGCTCAATTTTTTTTTTTTTAAATTCTTGGTAAGTAACACAGGCTGTGTAGAATACCAGAATGAGAGAAAAGGATTCATGTTGTATACATGTGGTTGGAAGAGGAGAAAATGTCTGGGCTGGTAAAAATGAATCAGAAAGCCTTAGTTTTCTGGTTAAAATTGACTGGTGAGGAGGTTCCTGAATACACCAAGTATGGGTAGGAAAAACAGTGCCCTATGTAATTATATAGTTTAAGCAGTAACAGGAGTGGGGCAACACTTTGTGGTAGAAGAACTGATTGGCTGAGTGCAGCACATGGTTGTTAAATTACTTTGATTTAGTAAGTTTGAGGTTGGTTTTCACTTAACGTTATGCAAGAAGTGGTTTTATTTACCATTGATTTCCCTCCTGTGGATGAAATAACTGAAGTCTAGAGGAATAAACTAATGCTACTGAACTGTTAAATTATTTTGTTAATATTACACTTTGAGTACCTTTTTTCCACAAAATCTGTTTCTGAATTGCAAATATTTTCTTTACATTATTTAACAATGTACACTGTAAAAAACAAAAAACCCACACCAATAAAATGAATTCAAACTTTGGGCTTCCCTGGCCATAGTTAATTGTATGTTTTGCACTAAATCCAGGCATTGCGCTTCTTGTACGATTGCGCTTTGTGCTGCCATTTGTTACCTTTGTAGAATATTTAATGAAATCATTTAAATAAACCAAACCTGCTTTTGTTGAACTGTGGGTTTTCATTTTCAGCTGGTTCTACTTCCCTTCCTCTTGGACCCAGGAGTATTTAATTGCAGATGAGCAGTTTGCCACCAGGAAATACTGAAACCCACACTTTAAAAACCCCAAACCTCTCAAAAGCAGTTTTCAATAACAATACTATCTGTTTAACAAACTTAACACGCTCCAAATAATATAGAACAATAAGGAACAAAAATTAGATGACCATTTCCACAAAATCTGAGTAAACTTAGGCAGTAAAGACACATGTATTTATTTTACACGCAGAAATGAGAATCTGTCTCCTGGTTGAATTTTCTTAGGTTACACTCATTCGTAACTCTTGATTTCTCAGTTTGCAATAAATTGGATGAAGGTTGATCCTCTCTTCTGCTAACATCTGTGGTCCAGCATGATTTTAGTTGCATAGTTGTCCACTTACCACATGGGTGAGACCAAGTTTCCCTGCAGTCCCATAAAGTTAGTTTACCAACTTTTTCTGTGCTGTTTCCTAAATGTCTTTTAAGAGACCAGTAAGTAGAGGAAGTATTGGTAATGCTGCTGGACAATGTGGACCTCTGTAGTTCAGCAAATTCTCTGGCTGGGCACTGGTCAGGGCCTGAGGGTGCAGGACGAGAGGTTCAGCTTGTACTAGCTAACTTGTAAAGGTTTTAAACCACTTATTCTAAACTTTTTGCTGTCCCTGCTGCCCACCTTTATCCGTGATCTCATCTGTCCCATATTGATAGTCTGTCTTCAAATGATTACTGTTTACATATAATGATTCTCTGATCACAGTTGATTTTAGAATTACAAAGTGGGAGTTGGCAATGTCTGGTTAGTGATTTTCAGTTCATCACTTGTAAGGTTATGGTACAAACCTGCTGCTTTCTTCAGGAAGATAGTGAACATTTACTTGAGTTGCATTAAACCATAATGTTATGATACTAGGAATGTGTTCAAGTGACTGTTCTATCTTAAGACAAGTGACCCCTCACATAGTTACAAATAAGATTTATTCACATTTTCCAAAATGTAGTATAAAAACACAAGCTGCTAAAAACTCTTCAGTCAACTGTAGTCCTTTAGAATGCATTCAGCGGAGAATTGTGTATAAATCTCCATTCAAATAATTCTTTCCAGGAGCTGATCTTAACGAATGCTATCCACCTTAAAGGAAACTACTTCTGTGATGAGATACAAAAGTAGAAGGGCATCCTTCACTTATCAGTAGGGAATCAAGTCATGCCAAAGGAATTAAAATCACAAATCTTTGGTGATCTATAACAAGCCCTGGCACTGGGAAGGCTTCATATACCTGAACCACTTTAACCACAAGACGGGCACCACATATATTAAAATGGGCTAAAGTTAAGTAAAAAAATTGACTATTTCTGTAATCAACAATGCATGAGACAAACAAGAGAAAATCTAGTAGAGCCATGTAAGACTGAAATGATTCAGAGGAAACTAGTATACTTCAGATGCTGTCCTGTTAAGAGGGTTCCAGTTTCCTTTTCTTCATGCCTTGAGTCCTCCTGAATGGACTGCATTCTGCAGAGCAAGACAATAGGGTTTTAGTAAGAAAATTATTCTGCCTTTCTCTTATGCCAAAACTCAACCATGTTTTTGCCAGTGCTTTTATGGGCATACTGGACAGCCACGTTCCCCTTCTGGTGAGATCCATCTCCCATTTTAATCAAGTGGCTTAAGTCTTAAGTGAGGTAGATTTACTTTTGCTTTTACCAGAATTTGAACATAAAAACAGCCATTCTAAAACTTAAGATTGAAAGAAGAAGTGCTAGCTGGCATTTGAAAGGGTAAAGCAGTCAGTAGGGGAGGACAGCCATGGATGTAGGTGAGACTGTTAAACTGAATTCCACAGCAGGACACTTGCTAGAACTTGCTCAAAGTTCATAAACTTAATTATGGACCTTATTCAATTTCACATGTGACTCTAGCACTATGCATGCTCACCTTTACTTACTGCCTTCTAAAAGTAGTCAGCTGCTTCCTTCTGCCCATTCCTCATCATAGCTACATTTATATTCCCTTTCTTTCATCATACTTACCTGGTACACCTTGGTTGGAAGAGTGGCTGCTAGGCCTGTGGCCAGGGGACTCATGCCATTGTGTAGCTCTCTCATGTGGTTTGTTAGGGTTTTTTGTTTGCGGAGTCTTGCTGCGTGTTGTCATGTGATAGTGTCCAAGAGGTGTTGTAGGAGCCTGGATTGAGACAGTTGCTCTTTTGTGGCTCTCAGTATCACTAAGATCAGTGGTCTCCAGAGGAATGTCCCACAATTCAGGGTCATCTGGAACAATTCAGAGACAGAAAGAAGACAACATTGTGACATTACAGAGCAGTGTAGCCCTAGTGTCAGCCCTCACTTGATGGCCCCAGAGCAGTAAAACTATAATGGAGTTTGTCGATACAAGAACAAAGGGAACTAAAGTTAAAGTGTAAAAATAGTGCACAAGTGAAGCTAAGACTTCAGGGATTCTGTGTGGTTACTAGAGAGAGTAAGGTTGAATAAAGTGCAACTGCACTTGGCTTTCATGTACAGGCTAAAGCATACAGGTGCAGCCTCAGACACTTCTTGCTGACAAGAATGTGAGCTCACATGTATATACACCAAGACCAGAATCTCTCAACTTCACTGGCTACAATAAAAGGTTCCTATAGGCAGGTTCCCCTCTAGTTGTAGGGTGCTTTAAACACCTACTGATGGAAGGGTGGGGCCCTGAATCCATTCACACCTCTGTCCAGGTCTCCTCTCTTCCCCCTCTACAGGTTATTGTTGCCACTATTGCTCAAGTGAGAATTGGGTCTATGCAACTCCCCCCTCATTCCTAAATCCTGCCTTTGAGCTAACAGTCTGCCAGCATTCAGCTGCCACTTTTCTGACCTTCAAAGAACTCTTCTTCAGTGGTCGGTCCCTGGTGCGCTGCTGCTGGAGTGCTATGCTTCATCAGTGACTGAAGAGATGCTTCTAGGCACAGGTAAAGAAGAACTATTAGTGCCACAAAGGCAAAAGACACTACCTGATGCCCCTATGGGGGAAGGAATTCAGGTAATTTCAGAAAGATACTAACTGTCCTACATCCACTTCTTGCCACTCACTAGAAATGGGGGTGTGGAGGGCAAGACACGAAATGATATCTGGTAAGGCCTACTATGCGCAATGAAAATATCCAAAAATTTCTTGAACTGTAAGCAGAGGTTTGGTTTTCTCAATATTCCCAGTTGGTACTCTATAGCAGCACTGGCTAAGCCTTTCCTAAGAGAACATAATGGCAATTTTGATCATGTCTTGTTTGAATCCACAGCCGTGACCTATAGGGAACAAGTATGACTTGAGATTTCTTTTTATAAGAGAGGAAAAAAGCACACCCCTGATGGACATAAATTACACTGACAAGTGGCTGTGATCAATGCTATCCCTGCTTGGGCATAGTTTAATTATGCAAAGGGGAGAGGTGTCTCTCACTTGCATACTGTAGGTCCATGAGAGCCCTTACTGCAAAGCACCTGCTGTGGCAGACCTGTGCTGCTGTAATGTTTAATGTAGATATAGTCCCGGTTGTTAGACTAGCAGATTAACAGTGGCCTGCCCTACCCTGTTTGCTGATGGGATTGGCTACTGCCATCTGATGTTTTTTTTCCATTTGCTCCCGGAACTGCTGCTGAAGTTGCTTCTGCCGTAACTTGCGCTGGTAAGTGGCATCGCTCCCGCAGGCTAAGATGCTACTTCTGCTCCAAGAAATAAACACACAGTCAGATGGCACTTCAGCTATAATTACACAGTAGGAAGGGGGAAGTTTATACCAATAGCATGCTAGGGAAAATCCAGCTATGATAGATGGTTCTTCTATCACACTTTCCAACCAAAGCTGCTCCCCGAACTCCCAACATGCTTTACAAGCATTATCTATTTACAACTTCAGGGTTGTCAGGGAGGCTTAAGTATTACCATTTCTAGCAAGCACAGGACTAGGACCTGTCCAAGTTTATACAGGAAATCTGTGGCTGAAACCCTGCTCTTGTGCCTGAACCATATACACAAACCTGACCCAAACTCGAGTAGCAGAGTATTTTGAATTACATATAAGACAACATTTATCACTTCTTGTTGCAGGCTCTGGAATGGGAGGAGCTCAAACCAATGCAAATATTGCATATACAGTTAAGTGAACTGACTATGACACCTGCTATGGTGCCCAAGCAGAAGTAGAGCGCTAACCACCTCACTCAAGAGTTACAGCCTTGGAACCTCATGGTTCTGTTCCTGCCTGATAAGGAGCTGCCTGACTCCTGTATTCTCTGGCTCAGAGCCACAGTACTGTGCACCTTATAAAGTAGCTCTTAGGACTGAATGCCTCCTAAAAGCTCCTGGAGGAATGTGGGGTATAATAGCTATGGATCAAATATAGGGTTGGGTATTGTCTGAATTAAAAGAACCAGCCTTCCACTTAACGTGGCTCATATATGCTCTGGTCACTAGAGTGATATGGAATTTTGGGAGTAAATGGAGGAATTTGTACATTTTAAGCACAAGGTGACCAGAACTGGGGAGGGGTGCTCATTTATAGTACAAAGTTAAACAGATTAAACACTCACCTGGAGCTATTTTGCTGCTCCTGTTCCGTTGTGCTTGAAGAAGCTGTCTCCTGGCCCTGTTTGTGTGGGGACACGCTCTCACAGTGCTGGGGTTGCCCTGTACTATGTTTCTGCAGACAGCTACTGTATCTTGCCTTCTCTATTGCAGGCTCAAAATCTTGCCTTTTTGCTTTTGTGAAATCCAACTCAGGAGGCAGCTAATACAGGAAAAAATTGTAATTCATTGACCAATTCTCCCCGCCCCATTAACTCTAAAGTCACAGACACTCAAAGCATCTTACAACAATATTTCATGTTTTGTGTCCCCCTCTCTAGCAGTTCTTAAACCAGTATCTGGGCCGCTTTTGTCCTTAAAGGATTGGTTTGGTTCTGTATTCTGAAAGGAGTTAGTGGTTGTTTGCAGACCACTATCATTGGCAGTGTTAGTGAATGTTTATTGGCTAGCCTCTATACCAACACACAATAGAATATTTAAATATAGAAGTAATAGAATCTGGACAATCCCACAACAGGGAGGTAGGTAGGTAAGGGAGTAAAAAAAAAAAAAAAATCACACTTTAAATTTATAGATGTGTACACAGACATGTGTTAGAGCTGGGCAGACCATTTTCTTCCCTTCAAATGCAGGAGTGGAATCATATATTCCACCCTTTAACTGAGCACATATTGAGGGAAGCTAGATAGAACAATATAAAGTGGTGTCAGAGGGATCTCTCTCACCCACATACAACTGGGGAGTTTGCAGTGTCCATATTAATTCCACAGGAAGCTGCAATACTGTGCTTCAGCCACCATTGGTACTGACTGAGATAATAAATCAGCACCTCCAAGCCCACCCACCTGATTCCAATATGGCATTCTCTATCTATCAGGTACTGATAGCTGCTCCTCCTGGATCCTTCCCTTAGGTCAGCACTCCCAGGGCTCTACATCTGCATATAAGACTCTCTGGTAAACTGGAACTAAAGTCTATGGCAAGCTGTTCTAATTTCTGTAGCATACTAGATATTCTGTGGTGGCTTCCAAATATATCAAAGTGGAGGGGTTTCATTATAGCAAATATGATAACGAATAGTCAGTACAGGAGACCAATGAAGTGTTTTTTATATTACATTCAGCACATTTTTCTTAGCCCCTAAATTTTCAGTTCTCTGTATGCTGAAGATTTCTGCAATGCAGTACTGTTAGAGGAGAGCTGAAACTTTCAACAGCTGTGCAGGGGGAAAAGTAGTGGCTGGCAGCACTTCTTTTAGACTAGAGCTCCCACTGTTGTTTACAAATAGTGAAAGCGGACTGGGGGCAGTTGCTGTGGGATGCTATCTGAAAATTTTCTAGTTTAAAAGAAGCTCTACTGTACATAGCACAGTACAATATTTCAAGTAACATGTTTTGATGTGGCACTGGAATTAGTTCATCCCTATCTATAATAGTATTTATTTAAACTATTACCAACAAGGGTGCAGCTGGACCCACTAGCAGTAAAGATACAGAATGGGCTGGTGCTCAGAAACTATAGTGATTGGAATGAGATGGGAATCTGACAAGAAGAGAGTAAACAAGACCCCTGGAAAGAGAAACAATGGGTTTAAGTTTCAGAATTGTATAATTTTGATGAGCTATTGGGAAAAATATTTTACAAAGAATAGTCAAATAACTAGCAGCCAAGGAAGATTGTGGAATCATTGCCACTAGACACATTCATGGTTTCCATCCCTTTCAAAACATGAATTGAACCAGTGACCTACCAATCATTCCAAATTGATGTAGTTTCCTTCTTTGAGTTACCAGCATAGTGGATAGGTAGAAAGCAGTAGATACAATATATCTAGACTTTAAGACTTGAGCCAGTCACACACTACATTCTTATAATCAAACTAGGGAAATACTGTCTAGATGATGTGGGTATACAACTAGGAACAAGGAGGTTCCTGGCAAACTAAATTACTCTGCTTTCCCCTTCTCCAAAGTCCCACATACTGCACCTGACGAGGAAGTTTATTCACTGATCGCAGGTAATCTTTGTCCAGGATGCAGTTCCCAAGAGCATTTCCAAAGCACCTGAGGGACAAGAGAGCCTGCCATGACTGAGAATTTCGTATTGTATTCTTATGCCATCTTTTGAAAATGAGCAAGAAATGTTCAGGTTCTCCACTTACTTTAGTGCCCTCTTTAGCCCATCTGTCACTGCTTCTTTCCTTGCCTTTTCTAGGGACAATGCCTTGGACTTCAGGCCCTCACTCACTCCATAACCCACGTCTTCATGGTATGACCCATCCTGAGAGGTGAGTTAAAAAAAATGAAGGAATCAATACTGGAACTTTTGCTTTTAGACAGCTGATTAAAATACTACATCTCTCGTTTGTGGACTATATGTATTAAGTGGCTTGGAATGTATTCTCTAGTAAGTTCAGCTTTCCAGGGGCCCATAGGATTGTCTGGTTTGACACAATACTATGGTGTGTTGCAGTTCAGCTCCACACACACAGTAATACTGTCATTCATGGTACTTAATCAACTAGCAGTTCACCAGCAGATGGAGCAAACAAAATCACATCCATTTACCTTGAGTTGGACTTTTACAAATGCACAAACTCCTACATAGAATTTGCCATTGTTGAGATCAACAAAATCTGGGGAGAAGAGGAAGGAGATGGAGTTACAACAGAGATCCAAACAGTGTATCTGTCAGGGATGGTGTAGACGGAGCTTGGTCCTGCCTTGAGGGCGGGGGGCTGGACTCGATGACCTCTCGAGGTCCCTTCCAGTCCTATTATTCTATGATTATGGGGTGAAATTTCTACCTCATGCTCATATTCCTAAGAAGCTTCAGAATTAAACCTGGTCTATACATAACATTTAGATCAAACTCATGTGCCAGGATAAACTTTCACTGCTGAGTCTTCCACATCAGCTACCATGCTTGATCCACCATTTATATTACAACCCACAACAAAAGTAGATCTTTGGCAACAAAATACCACACCAAGTATTGGACTTTCCACTTGAAGGGATATGGGGCCATACCTTCCTTCCTTGTCTCTTAGATACCAAGTGCCCTGAGGAAATGAAGTCAGCATTTGCATGCATGATCATGATGGCTCCAGCATGGATGAGGCAGTGCAGTGACGGAATGAGCCAAGCTTTTTGTGGGGGTGGGTGGGGAGGGGAGTCACTCCCTGCTCCCCCAGGTCTCTATCAATTCCTCCACTACCACCCCCCTTCCTCCTAACATTAAAGAGGTCCCTGTCTCCTGCAGCTGCTCTCCCTCCATTTCTCCATTGTTGGGACTGAAAATTCTAATTCCCTGAAGGAGCATGGGGTATGTTGTGCATTCACATAAACAGGAATTTTGGTTAACTCAAATGTGGATAAAAACAAACTTTATCTGTACAAAATATGATAGAAAAATAGGAAAATAAACTGCAGGGCATCCTAAAAAGCACCCTGATTGAACCGTGTACCATTCAACCAACTTGCTATCTTTGGCATGCTTGCTGCAAGTTGACAATCCCTGCCAGCTATAAAAAGAATATGATTTTATTAAACACCCGAGGAGCCATTTGGCCTGGGAAGAATTGGACATTACATTGGTGGAAGAGGGGCCAGAGAAGACAATTCTAGAGAATACTAAGTAATAGTCAACATGTACTTGCCAAGAACCAATCATTCCAAACCAATCTAGTTTCCTTCTTTGAAAGGGTTACCAGAATAGTAGATAGGTAGAAAGCAGTAGATACAATATCTGGACTTGACACAGTCACACATTACATTCTTATAATCAAACTAGGGAAATATTGTCTACTCTAGATGATATGGGTATACAAATAAATGAAAAAAAATCATATTAAGAGATAGTTATTATTTAGGGATGTAAACTATCATTTAAAAAGTTAACTGATTAAACACTGTTTCACATGGAGCAGTCCCCCACCTGCGATTGGTGGGTCCAGTCAGACTACTAGGTACAGGAAAGCATCACCCGGCAAGGTTACTGGGGACCCCGCCCCCTTACATCCCTTTTATTATTAGTAGTAGCAATAATATAATTGATGTCAAAGTGTGAGGACTGATCAAATGTGGATCTGAATAGGTCTTACGTCTAGTACGATCCAATATTTTAATCAATTATTTGGATAATGGAGTACAGAATATGTTTATAAAATTTTCAAATGACACCAAGCGGGGAAGGGCTGTAAGCATGCCTGTGGATAGGGATGTAAAATTCAGTTTAACCATTTAATTGGTTAAAAAGGGGCACGCTGGAGCAGCCTCCCTGCCATGGGCTGGGGCTCCTCCAGTGTGGCTGTTTACAACCCCTTGCAGGGCTGCAGGTGCCCAGCCCATGGGGGGCTGGAAAAAACAGCTCTGTGTAGGGCTGCCAGCTCCCAGCCCCTTGTGAGGGCCTAGCGGTGCTGGAGCAGACCCTCCACCTAACACAGGTGGCGGGGGAGGAGCGGTTGCTCCCCAAGTAACCAGTTATCCATTAACATCCCTAATTGTGGACAGGATAAGAATTCAAAAAGACCTCACCAAATTGGAGAACTGATCTGAAATCAACAATGAAATTCAATAAATACACATATCAAAGTGATGCACTGAGGAAGGAAAAAAAATCAAATGCACAACTACAAACTGCAGTAGTATTGCAAAAAAAATCTGGGAGCTATAGCAGATCACAAATTGAGTAAGAGTCAAACATGATGCTGTTATAAAAGAAGGCAAATGTTATTCTAAGATGTATTCATGTAAAAGTTGAGCAGTAACTGTTCTGCTCTACCTGGCATTGGTGAGGCCACAGCTGCAGTACTGTGACCATGTTTTCAAGGCTTCATGCTTTCCAAAAGATGTGGACAGATTGGATAGACTCAAGAGGAGAGCAACAAAGTTGATAAAAAGTTTAGCGAACATGCTATGAAGACGGGCTGAAGGACTGGGCTTGTTTAATCTAGAGAAGACTGAGCAGAGACATAGTCTTCAAATACATAAAAGTCTTACAAAAATAATGGTGATCAATTGTTCTTCACAGTCTCCAAGAGTAGGACAAGAAATAATCTGTTTAGTTGTCAGAAAGGGAAATTTAGGAAAATCTTACTAACCATAAGGGTATTTTACCCAGGGAGATTGTGGAATCCCTGTAAATACAAGTTTTTAAGAACAAGGTTAGGTAAAAACCTCTCAGGGATGGTTCAGGTATATCTAATCCTGCCTCAAGGTGGGAAGGTGGACTAGAAGATTTCTTGACATCCCTTCCAGCCTTACTTTTGTATCATTTTCATTAATATCTCAACATCACCATTCTATTTTCCAGTAGAATTTTCCAATCCTGTAATGACTCGTGAGTGTTATCCACCCAGTTTGGATGCTCCCTTGTTCCTGAGACATTTAGTATTAGCAAGATTGTCAGTTTCCTTTTTTAGTCCACAGTAACTTGCTCTCTTTACGACATCAATGAGTACTGCATTTCTTGTAGCTATTACATCATATAGGAGAGATTCAGGCCCCTGTGTATAGTGTACTAGTTACTCATAGAGCTCATCTGAAGTCCCCTAGGAATTCCACATAAACCAGCCCATTCGTCTCTTTTTCCTTCCTAAACTTCACTCTCTCTGGAATGAGGAGATTCACACTTTCAATATAAAGAGAGCATTGTTTTTCCACCTACACAGAACAAGATAATTCAGGAACATACCCAAGGTATTTTTGACATTTTCTGACAAGGCTAAGAGGAAATCTATACTCATACATTCATTATCTGCAGGAGCAGCCCTAGACAAGCTGCCGGCAACTGGCGCCGTAGGCGAAACGCGCGATCGGCGCCCCCGCCTCCAAAGCCCTCAATGGCCTTCCTTATCTGAATGGGTTTCCAAGTACCTAACAACTTGTTATTAACAATGGCAAGAAAGATCCACTTGGTCATACTGTAGTTCATTCCACTAGGGTTTTGCTGCCTGTTGGAGGAAGGCTCTTATATCTGAAACATGTAAAGCAGCTACATGGAGCTCCAACCCACATATTAGTCCCGTGGTCACCAACCAGTAGATCAGATCGCGATCTACTGGTAGATCTCAGGGGCTCTAAGAGTAGCTCTTTAGCCCTCTCTGAACTGCGTACCTGTGCAGTACATTTACATTAGATTTCCTTATGTAATGTAGGCGGGGCTTCAAGGAAGGGGCGGGGCAGTAGATCTTCGCCTGTTCTGAGACTTAAAAAGTGATCTCGGGTGTAAAAAGGTTGGAGACCTCTGTATTAGTCACTATTAACTAATATAGGCATCAGTTTTTATAGGACTGTTTTAGAGTGGGTATTCAAATAGGACTCCTAATAACTGTCTCTGAGGAAATAGACATATCCTCATTAAGTCACTGAGTGGAATCTATGCAGACAACTGATAACACATGGTTCCTTACACTTCAGTAACAACGGGTTTTCAAAATGTGTTGTCCATACAGATTACACAACTCAGATTGCAATATCAGGGAGGCAGTCTCATACCTACAGAAATCTGTACTGATGAAGAAATTGATGGGCAGTTGGGCCCATTCCATCCTTTATGCCCTCTGGGGAGCAACACGTGAGTATCCAAGATGTCAACATGGCCCCAATGGATGCTGCTGGCCAAAATAATACAATCTCATGCATTTGTGTTCCAAGAGTGGAATCAGTGCGGACAGCACATCTCAAAGAACCATAGTTACTATAGGGATGATTGAGTAACTATTCTTTCCCTTGATGTTGAACCATAATTAATCCCAACAGTGGGTATCAAAGTATGAAATGGTGTAACATTAAGATTCCCTTCTAAGACAGATAGAGACTGCTTAAGTGTTGCTGACACAAAACAATCCCACTCTGTTTCAATGTCATGAGAAACATCTAGCTCCAGTAGGCTGTCAGACCCTCGCATTTTGAGGATCTATCAGACGGACACTGTTCTAACAATGTGCATCTCAGATCTTTGCAACACTGAATCAGAACTCTCTTATCAAAATTTATTACTGAAGAAGTCAGCACCAACCTTCCAATCACCAGGCTGTAATGTTGGTGCAGTTTAGGAGTGCCTCACTGTAATCCCTGCATCACATATAGATTTTCAACACAAATGTGCTGATCTCTCAGTACAGTACTCTGTTGTGTGAACTTCAACTGTCTTCTCCAGCAGAAGAAGTTTGAGGTGGCTCTCCTTCTTTCTAGTATGAGAGGTGAAAATGATGCAGACCAAACATCAACATGGACTTTGCCCTTTAGTAATGCACTTAAAAGTACTGCTCGTGGTGACTACTGTCACACTGCAGAGAGACTACAACTAGTGGTTTTACTGTTAACTGCCACAACATGAATGATAAATGGAGAGACCACCAGGCCTGAACCATGTTACACCGACGAGTGCCAAAGAACGTAGGTTTCAGGGCCAATAAGCTAGCTTTTAAACAAAGTTGCAATAGTGCATCCTAAAAATTTAAGAGTGCAAACTTAACTGAAATCTAAGGTTACCCTAACAAGTCAAAGGAGAATAGATTGCAGAAAGCACATAACTAAAGTGGGGAACGCATAAGTTAAGAAGTTTACTGCGGGGAGCAGTTGCATGTGATCTAGACAGCTCAGGGCTACTAGGGTTAATCAGGCAGAAGAGTCCAAATGCAATGATTTGGCCTACACATCCCTACTTGGCTGAATACACTCATTTTTAGTTACTCAGAAGCTCAGTTACACAAACCTGAACTAGTGAATATAAACAGCATTTTCTTTACACATAGGACAGGTACTGAAACACCGGTGTTTCACCACTACTCCCCTCTACTTTCTCCTGTCAATGAGCCCTTATGCTCCAAAATTTCATCTCTGTTTTTTACAGGGACTGTATCTTTAAAAACACATTTCCTGATGTTTCAGCTGAATATGTTCCAGGAAAGATAGCTTCTCAAATAGGAACCACATTCTGCCACTTTACAGATCTTCACTGTGAAGCTATAGGAACACAAATTCTCAAACCCTGGAAAAAGACACTCACCAACATTTTGCTGGGTGACCGAATGAGCCCAGCCATTGTAGCCAAACATCTCATTGGCCAGACTGATGACCCTGTGACCCTCAATATAACAAACCTGAAAAGAGGAAGAGTGAATTTTAAAAAGTCCTGTGGAGTATAGCTGTACTGTACTAAGAAACCCTGTAAATTTCAAGGAACATCTGCCCGTGTGCAAAGAATAAAAAGGGTGCTCCCCTCCTGGCCCAATCTCCAGAAGAAGATGGCATAACAAAGAGGAAGATTTAGATAACACAAAAGAAAGAGTCTCAGAGGGGTAGCTGTGTTAGTCTGTAACTTCAGAAACAACTAGTAATCCTGTGGCACCATACAGATGAAGAAAAATATATATGTCACGAGTTTTTGTGGGGCAAGACCCATTTCATCAGGTAACCTGGAGTGGAAATAACAGAATCCAAGATATATAAAACAGCAAAAGAAGTATCTGTCAATTGTAGGACCCATGTTAATGAAGCTACAATTGACAGGTACTTTTTCTGTTATATATTTCCACTACAACTCATCTGATGAAGTGGTCTCACCCATGAAAGCTCATGATGTTATATATTTTTGTTCATCTCTAAGGTGTCACAGGTTCTTCTCTAAAGTGCCTACAAAAGAAAGGGAACACCACTCCTCGCATAATTTACACACAATGTGCAATGTTTATTTAGTGCTTTACATGTGCAAAGCACTGAACAATTAAGTAATAAATACTGCACAACATCCTAAGAACTAGATAAATGATTTCCATTTAAAGGATGAAGAAGCTGAAGGAGGAAGTTAAGTGACTTGCCAAATGTGTCAAGAAATCAGTGACTGAACTAAGGACATACACACAGTTTTTCTTATAGTGAAGAATTCTCTCTCTCTCACTCCCCGCCCACAAAGATTCTGCATACACAATTGTTTGTACCTTCTGTCCTCCACCAGCCTGCCGGCTGCTGATGTATTCCGGCCCCAGCCTCTGACGTAGAGCATTCTGGATGGCCTGGTATTCATCTGCTGTGTACTGGTACTTTAATAGAAGCACAGAAGAGTCAAACAGCTTTAGTTTCTTAAATCTATTAGCTTCCCCACCTCTGACTCATCCCACTCTTCTTTATTGCAGTCTTCTAGGAGAAGATGAATATTGCATTCTCATAATTCAGGATGTAAAAGATAATCAAAAGTGCTCAAGAAGGAATTTATTTTGCTGAATTTGGTAGGTGTATTATGCTGGTGATATTGCTTGATCTCACAAGGAACTAGTTTAGATGGATCAATGATCTGTGTTGTACAGAATTTAACTTTTCTCCAATTTTTACAAGCAGCAAATACATTACAAAGTGATAGAAGTCAGCTAAGCACTCCAGTCTGAAAGAGTACTCTTGCCCCCTCCCATCCCTATGAAATTCTATGTAACATGTGCAAAGCCCATCTATGCTGTAGGGGCATGAAGTATTGAAGGATCCTCTTTCAGCACCACTCATATTAGTCAGAATATCAAATAGGTATCACTACTTATTGCACTGGCAGAAATGTTGGTTACAATCAGCGTTCCCTCCAAGCTACTGGGCAGCACAGCTTCACAGGTAATAATCAGCCCTGGCCAGTCAGTCAGCTCCCTGCATGGAGCTCTGAGCCTCTGACTGGGCTGGGCTGATTAATCACTTGTGAAACTGTTCTGCTTAGAGGGAACACTGGTTATACTCTATATACACACTACAAAAAAATACAGATAAGGTTAAGTATGTATTACTCTGTGTGAAACAAAAGATAGGACTATGCAGCATTTTAAAGACTAACAAGATGGTTTATTAGGTGATGAGCTTTCGTGGGCCAGACCCACTTCCTCAGATCAAATTGTGGAAGAAAATTGGCATGACCATATATACAAAGGGATACAATCAAAAAAAAAGTGAACACATATAAAATAGACAAATCAGATTTTAGAACGGGGGGGGGGGAAGAGGGGAGAAGGTTAATGTCTATGAGATAATGATATTAGAGGTGGTAATTGAGGAAGCTATCTTTGTAATGGGTAAGATAATTGGCATCTTTGTTAAGGCCCATTTGTAAAGTGTCAAATTTCAGCATGAATGACAGTTCAAAGGCTTCTCTTTGAAGTCTTGTGTTAAAGTCTCTTTACTCAGTGTGGAGTTAGTGTTCTAGTTAAGCATGAATATGGGTGAGTATGGGGAGAACTAAGTTCAATTCCAGCTCTTATATGAAGAGTAGGGATGCTAGCTATTGTGTAACTGAATAGTTGTGTAACTACATGACTATTTGATAGTTCCCAGGGGCAGGTCCAGCAGCCAGTGTGCTCCCAGCCCCACTCCCTGGAGGGCGCTGGTCTATGAGGGTCCAGTGGGAGTTGATCTGTGAGAGGAGCCAGTTTAAAAACTAGCTCCTCACACACACCAGCTGCCTGCCTCCCCATGCTGCTGCTTCTGATACAGAGGCAGCAGCGTAGGATAGCAGCAGCCTCTGTCTGTGGGGAATCTGAGCTCCCTGTGGACAGAGGCAGCAGCATGTGGGGTGGGAGTGAGGCAACTTTTTTCAAGAATAACAGACCATTTCTTTTTCTGGCAGTTATACAGAAATATATAACTTTAAGCAAAAGGGCAAGTAGAAAGGCAAAGGGGAAAGATAGCACTGTACATATATATACACAAAGACTTCATATTCAGCAGCTAACTGAAGATGTAATGGCATGGAGAGCAGAATTCACCTTGCAAGGCAAAAGACAAACAGTTTATTGTTTTTTTCCCCCAATAGCTGGAAAAAGGTAGCTTCCTTCTCATTACCAATAGAGGAGAATGCATGTTTTTAAAAGTAAACCTGGGGCATGCCATCCACTATTAAGATAAACCAGTCTGTGATGAAGTCTCCCTACTTTGCACTGATTCAGAAAGGGTTAACCACACACTGTGGGCTGAGGAAGCCACATCCCCGTACACCTGCTGGGCATGCTCCAGAGGAAACTATAAAAGGGAGTAGCTCAGTCTGGGCTGGCCGCTGATGAAAGCAGACGTATGTTGCAGGCTAGAACAGGGAGACTGCTGGAATTTCAGGACCCAGAACTCAGTCATCCTGAGGCTCCAATGAACCCCCAGCTAATCAGTTCTGCTAATGGAGGACAGTGGACACTACCAGCCTTTGGAAGGAAGGGTAGGGACTGACCCAGGAATTGGAACCGATGTACTGGGTGACCAAAACTGATTGTAGTAGCACAGGATCTCTAGGGAACTGGGTTAACACCAGTGGCGCAGGATGGGCCTGGGTCTCCGTACCCCAGCTGCCCCTCTGAGCTTAACTGCCCTACTGACCCTTAGCCATTGGGTCATTATGCCCTGAGCTACAGGGCTACTAGATCAACTTGAGCCATTAGGCCAATCTGCTCTGAACAACAAGATATTTTTGTGGAGCCTGGCCACTGGGACGCACTGTTCTGCAGTGAAGGGTGACTGCATTGATTCTGGTACTTGGTCACACTGCCTTGGGGGGAAGGGGTAGGGTTTCTATGGCAACACAGGAGGCCAGGCCACTTGAGCCTGTAAATATCTAATTTGATACCCTGACATGCCATGACAGGATGTATCTATCCTGTGACAAATGGTAGCAAGACAGGGCAGCCAATAAAATAGAATTCCTGCCTGACAGACATGGAAATGGGAGTGGATTTTAAAGTGGCTGCTGGAGAGCCAGCAGCAAGTGGCACAAGAGCAACATCAGATTAGCTGCTACAACAGATCACAGCAGCAACTCCAGATAGTGCATCAGCAGGACCAGTGACACCAAATGGTGTGGGAACTGGCTGCTCAAGACCAGGTGCACCAATAGGATTAGAGGCAAGGAACATTTTGGCAGGGCTGCCAGTATGTCTGAATAAGATGGGGCTCATTAACAATCTGAGGCATTTCTTGTGACATTCAAATTGGGTCATCATGCCTGGCAGCCACCAAAACTCTGAGCTGTTCTCTTGGCACCAGGCCAGCCTACCTACTGGGACCTATACTTCCAAGGTGTTGAGATACATAAAAATGAAGGTGGCCAGACTGCCATCAGTCCTGAGGCATACCGCCAACAACTCTACTGCAAATGGACCTGCCCATGGATTCTGGAACTACTGTTGGCAACGATTGGAATCATATAAGCAGACCAGAGTCCAGGTGGTGGAGACAGTGGCACTGGAGCAGTTTACCAAGAGCCTACCCACTAAGGGAAGGATTGGGTGCAATGGCACTGCCCAGCTTGCTGAAACTATCTCCTTAATGGAAGATTACAAGATTGCTGAGGGTCAGAGCAGCAAGCTCAAGAAACTGACCACACAAGGCCAAGGTAGGAGCCTCTAACACCAACCTAAGCCACCGGCAACCATGACAAATCCTGGCACAAAGTAACTGACTGATTGAGCTGCCTGGGGCAAAGGATCTTTATGAGTCATCACATCATCTCTATCATCTGGCTACATAGGAGGCCAGGCCCCTTGGGCTGCTAAAATCTCTACTTTGATCTCCTCACAATCCGTTGCCCAATAATGGTGTGTAAGTAACTCACAACACAATCCAATCCATCAGAGAAAGGAACATTCTTCCTGTCCTTTAAAAAAAAAATCCAAGGCCCTTTCTTTGAGTAAATTCAAGGCCCTTCTCAGATAAAAGTTACTAGTGTTAGATATACTAGCAGGAGTAAATGTAATGAGGATGAAGATTATCATGGTGAGGATGGCAGGTATGATTTAAACATACCACGAGTATACTATATTAAAAGCAATAAAGTGCTTTGTGAAACTTCCTGAAGGGCAAGAGGAAGACTGCCATGTCTGTTCTAGATGAAGAGAGACTGACCTGCCCAAAGCACAGAGATGAACTACTACTGTTGGAATCAATCTTGGTGTGGTTTCCACTATTTGTCCTCTGACTTTCTGACATCCCTAAAAACAAAGGAAAGAAAACAAATAAAAAACCTCATAATGAATCATCATCACTAGCAAAAACAAAAACCTGAAAGCAAGAAATACAGTAGTCCCACTGAAGACTTTCAGGATTGTAGTTTAGAAGAGACTTAGTAAGTAGTTTATCCCATTGCAATCATGCAGCAGAAAATTCCCTCAGCAAGGTTCCACTGGATATTATACCAATATCATACTTTAAATTCTAATAAGCAACTGCAATTCCAACAGAAATTCATTTTGTCATTATTAATTCATTATTTACTCCTCAAGAACAGAGTCACTGTAGGTTATGTTAAAAGAAAATTGTTAAATTCTGGTATAGATGGGTCTTTACCACTTTTTCCCCTATCCACAGCTTCATTCTATCTACTTCATGCTATTACTGTGGAGAAATTGGAAAGGGTACAGAGAAGAGCGACAAGAATGATTAAAGGTCTAGAGAACATGACCTATGAAGCCAGGCTTCATGAACTGGGCTTGTTTAGTTTGGAAAAAAGAAGATTAAGGGGGGACATGATAGCGGTTTTCAAATATCTAAGGCTGTGTCCAGACTCAGGGGTTTTTTCGGGAAAAGTAGCCTTTTTAGTGACACCACTAATTGTTCTTGTGCTCCTTGGTCATACAGTGTGTGTACTCTACCTAAACAATGACTAGAAGTAATTAATACAATTCATTAACTACAGATAAATTTGTTAATTTTAAATGCAAAACATGTTTTGATAAAGTTTTTTCCTTATGTTTCCAGTGCATTTGAGGTAGTATTAATTAATTAAAATACCTACAATTAAATGCTATATTTGTGCATGTTACTGAATTTCCACCAAAATATCACTGGACACAAATCATAAGTACAAATTTAATTATCTAATACAATGGTTCCCAACCTTTTTGAGCATATGGACTCCTTTTCAATCTATTAAAATTTCATGGACTCCCAACCAATATAGCTCTTTTCAAACATTCCATTATTTGACAATCATTTGAAATGTCTAATAGTTTATGTAATCTAAACAAATACAGAGTCCTGGGGGGAAAAAGAAAAGAAAAGTAAGGATCAGGACCACCAGGGTGGGCCCATCCTTAATTTTAAACTTTCCATGGACCCCCTTCAGTACTGTCATGGATCACCAGAGGTCCATAGACCACAGGTTGGGAAGCACTGATATAATAAATAAGAAATATATCATCTGCAATTTTCTAAAATAAAGATACAATTTAAAAATCTGAATACATATATACATATATATAACCACTTAAATTCATAGAATCATAACATATCCTCCAGATGAGGTAAAAGAAGCACCAAATTTAGTGTAATGATAGTTCAAATTAACATTTTAATGTTTACCAATCTTTCTCTAGGAAAATAACTAAAGTACAAATACAAACATATTGTATCAAGGTTTCCTGCTTGCTGACTTAAATGCAATTAAATTAAAATAAATTATTTTAAATAATTTTAACTGAAATCAATCCATTCTGACTGCAGTACTGGAAATCCAACCTCAACAGCTTCATGCTAGCTATTGCATATGAATTTGAGAGACTAGAAAGCAAAGTGAGAAATTATTTCATTGCCTAAAACTAGAAATACAAAATGGTAAGAAATAAAACATTTTTGATATACCTGAATGTGGTTTCTAACTCAAGTGAAGATATTTAAAAATATTATTCCCCAATCTCCTTAAACCTTTTCCTTCCAATACGCATATAATACTTAGGGTAAGAAAAAACAAAATTCCACAGCTGGTATTGACATAGCGGCCTGACTTCCAGACCTTCTGGCCTTCACTTAGGCCAGGTCTATACTACATCTGGAAGGTCATCTTAAGGTACGTAATTCCAGCTATGTAGCATACATAGTTGGAGTCGGCTTAATTTAAGCCAGTGGTCTCCAACCTTTTATACCTAGGATCACTTTTTAAATGTTATGGCAAGCCAAGATCTACCTCATCCCTTTCCCCAGACTCCACTGCTTATTTGAGGCCTTACCCTCTCCAAACCTTTCCCCGGACTACCTGTTGCTAATGAAAATTCACCATTAATTACATAAGTACACCTGAGTCATTTTGCTAGGGCTGCAGCTGGGGAGAACAGTTTAATTTAAATTATGAAACAGATTAATGTTTTAACTTTCTTGTGTTAGTTTCATATTTTTTTAATTTATGGCAGGTGTGGGGAACTTTTTTTTTTTGAGTTGGGGGTCACTGACCCACAGAAAAATCAGTTGGGGACCACATAAGTGAGAAACAAAAAAAACTTCCCAAACCCCAACCTTCCCTGATGTGCCCCGCAACTCAGACACATCACTCTTCTGGCACTCCAGCCCGCACAGAGTGAGGGGGAAGGGACAGGGAGGACTGAGGTTCTCATAGGCCAGATTTACTTTTCTGGGTTTCCAGAGTTAGTGGATTTGGTGGACCCCCTTAGGCTCTGATATGGGAACAAAAATGAGGGGCTCAATGCATGGGGTAGACTACCATTGAGTGGGATAGGGATGCAGGATGTGGGTGGGAGGTGGAGTACAGGACGGGTGAGGAAAGGGAGTTTGGTGGTAGAAGAGAGTGTGGGGTGTGGGTACGACAGGGAGTTTGGGAGCGGAAGGGGGTTGGGAGAGTAAGGCAGAAAAGGTGAAAGGGTTAGAATGCAGCCAAAGAGCTAGTTGGGGAGGGAGGCAAAGAAGTAGGGAATAAAGGAAAGTGAAGCTTCTGCAAATTGTATCCCCCCCCTCACATCTTCCCTCTGCTCCAGCCTCACTCCCTCAATCCCATGAGCCTCCCCAGCCTGATCCCCTGCATCGTCCCATCGCCCTCAGTGCAACTCCTGCTGCCTCCCATCCTGTCTCTGCAGCTTGATCCCCTGCATTGCCCTATGCCCCTCAGTGCATCTCCTGCCCCCTCCCATCCATACTCCTTCATCCTCCTGCCCCACATTCCTGTGCCTCCAGCGCAATCACAGGTAGGGTAGCAGTGCTGGGACTCGCAACCTCCTGGGTATAGCACTGGGGCAAGGGGAGTGGGAGGGCAGAGTCTCTTCCCTACCTGGCTCAGCCCTTTACCTGCAGGCAGTGGCTCCAGGGCAGCCTAGGGCTGGCTCCAGCCTGGCCGGGTGCAGTGGGGTGCTGGGGAAGGGGCTCTCTGACCCTGCACACAGCTCGTGAACAGTGCCCCTCCCAAAGCAGGAGACAAGAGCTGGGAATGCATGCGTGTGCGCGCACACATGCTTCTTCTCTTCCCCACTCCTGCTACCAAGTTAACAAAGAGAGACAGCTGCCCCTCTTTGCTCCAGCTCAGCTGGCTGCTGTGTTCAGCCTGCTGAGAGGTTGTGCCACACTCCAGCTGGGCTGGAGCAAAGGGAAGCAGCTGTCCAGCCAGCTGGCCATGGCGAATGACTCCTGGGGTGCCGCAATCAACTGGTTGGTGACCACTGCCTTAAGCTAAGCTTGGCGGTGTACACACAGTGGGGAGCAAATGCTTTCATTGGCTTCCATTACTCCTTGTCATTGTGAGTACAGGCACCAGCTGGAGCTGCCCTCAGCATTCAATTTAAAAGCTATACTAGACCTGCTAAGTTGAATGCCAGAACATCAGTCTCTGGCATGGCTGAGTGTAGGCATGCCCTTGGATTCCTGGCTTCATCAATTTTGCCTGCAGCCATACTGCCACAGGCTGTTATGCAATCATAATTCATAAATTAAGCAGAGCTGTGAAACCTACGCTCTTTCTACTGAGTTGGTACTGAGCAGCCAGCCAGCATGGTGTTCTATGGGGCTGCATGTGCAAGTATTTGGCTGACACATAAAACAGATAGATAAAAAAACTGGAGTGACACACATCCTGGGGATCTTATCATTATGTATTTGTATAGTACCAAACATGGCAGGGCTCTCATCTATCACTGAGGCTTCCAGATAGTATGGCAGTACAAGTAACAGATGTAACAGGGAGCTCCTTAGTCATTCATGATTCAAAAAGAACTATCTAAAATGTTCCAAAGGAAAAAAAAAAAGCTCACGGTGCTTAACAGCCTAACAGGCTAACTTTACTTCTGCCATGTTGGAGTCCAACATTCTTCAGGTGTTGAGGGAGTTCTGCTGATCTCACAGCAAGGAGCTAAAACCTAAGAATTAGAATTAAGGTGGACTATGTTTGGGGCACATCTAGACTACATTTTAATTTCAAAAGAGGATATGCAAATTCTGCAGGAATTTGCATATCCTCTTTCGAAAGTATATTTTAAAAGTGAAAGTAATCTGGACGTACTTTTTTCCACCAAAAAACCCCTTTTTAGAAAAACTGCGTAAACCCTTTTTTAGGAAGAATGTTTTTTTTGAAAAAGGAGTTTTTTTCTTTTCTGAAAAAAACCACATCCAGACTAGTTTCACTTTTGAAAGATCTTCTTTTGAAAATGCAATTGGAAGAAGATATGCAAATTCCCAGGGAATTTGCACATCCTCTTTAGAAATTAAAATGTAGTCTAGATGTGCTGGAGAAGGGGCATTAGTGGTGGATTCTGGAACAAATACCAAATTTGGTAATTATATTGGGCCTATCTTAAATGCCACGTGCAGTTTTGGTTGGATACAGTTATTCTTCACTTTCTGTCCAAAAATGTATAGTTTTGACATACAGTTAAAAAAAACTTACCTGTTTCAGTTTAGAGCTAAACATATTTCTGTAACAGGTGAAGAGATTTTCTATTTATAATGTAGTTTTCTAAAAGTCACTTTCAGATCTATCTGGTTGGAAGTGGAGATTACACACACACACACACACACACACACACACACACACACACACACACACACACAATCATAATCGTGAAATCCAGCTCTTAAGAGATTAATAGGCTTTCCTTATACAGGCAATCCCCGACTTATGTCGGATCCGCACTTACGAACGGGGCTTTTCTCGCCCCGGGGCCCCGCTGCCTGGGCGGCTTTGCTCCCGGGCAAACAAGCAAAGCCGCCCAGGCCAAAT